GATTTGTTAGCAAATGAAGTGGGTTTGATGAAAACTAGTCTTCGTAAACAGATCTGTAAATCACGAGGGTACAGGCAGAGTTCTCCTCGAAGAAGTCTTGGGCATGGCCAACTAAAATCCGGAAAGCTCGCTCAGTGTCGTGATACGTCATGATGCTCTAGAGGAGCTGTATGAATGAAGCTTCAAAAAGTCTCAGCTCCATCCGTGAGCGGCAAACCGAGCGAACTAGACGTAAGTATGAAAGGGTCAGTTGAGCTATATAACTCCTGGGGGTGATGTAAGCAATAAATGTAAATCAGTAACCGTAGCACTGTGCTTATTACTACCTAGGATGCATCGGCCGGGAATTGAACGCGGATGACTGCGGGGCAGGTGAGCATTCTGCCACTGAACTACATTATGTTTATAGCAGCAGCGTTCTCTAGGAAACATCCTTCAAAACGTGACATTACAAAATCGTAGGGAACGGCCAACACAAGTGCTGCAAATGGTTCTCTATGAGAAGGCGCTATTTTCTGTTGCTAGCTGACGAGGTGGGACTTATCCCCCAGTGAGGCACAGTTCGGCTTGGGTGGTGGGGAGGGGAGCATTTTTCACGTTCACTGCTTCCCATGATTGCATTCACTATTTTACAGTAGTTGACAGGTACTCTTCACAAGAACTGGCAAGTGGTTTCCACAAACTCTTACTGGTATTACTTCATGATTTCCAAGGTTTCACAAATCTCTACTTGATGGCTCGACACGACAATAAGTAATGGAGAAATTGTCAACCTCTCCCTTCCCCTTCTTCCCCCCCCCCCCCCCTGAAATGCGCCTGATGAGTCGTGTGATCACGAGTGATGAGGGGATCCGAAACGTTTGAGCTTGGAGCAAAAAGTCGATGAAGTGGCCGAAGAATCTCACAAACTCGTCCAAGATATGGTACTAGCGCGTGTGCCACAAACTTCTCATGTTCATGTCAAAGAAGTCATAATTGGGAGCTTGTTTCCGTTTATCACTTCAAAAATGTGTTTCGAATCTTGCAAGGCTGGGTGGAATTGTGTGAAGCCGGTGCGGCAGATGTTGTGAATCCACAAATTTTCTCCTGAGTCTGTACCATCTGCATGCGGTAATTATTCTAGCCTTAGGTTTTTTCCTTCGAATAAATAAACCACCTTGTAAGGGAGAGTAGAACATCGATGAGAACCCAAGATAGGCCAGGATGTCGTATTCAGGCGTCAACCTTCGAGACAAGGTGGTTGCCTCAAAGGTTGTGAAGGCAGCATTGTTTCGATACTCCCTCTATTTCCCTTTCACTTACCAGGGTCCATCGAGTTATGGTAAGAAGTGGAGATCTGTGAAGCTAAATGAATGTGAGAAATTCGTTCATTCGAAAACCTTAATTGAACTGCAAAAGTTAGAGTTCAGGCAATTGAAATTCTTTGGACCTTTCACTTTCTTCTTCATTTGTTTTCTTTTGGCGCTCTAGAACGTAATCGTCCAGGTTTCCTTCTAGTGGGAATCACTCTTCGAAGCACCTCAACTCATTTTCGTCTAATGTTTTTCATCGATTTTCCTCTCACTTTCTTCCTATCCTCGAAAGATTTCTATTGAGTTTGTCCCTTTTTAGAAATAGTCTCTTCATTGCAGGTACACGATCGCTGACAACTGGGTCGCAACCCGTATGACCCCGCCCATCGTCGTACAGGTATCTTTCCAAATCTATCCGCCATCCATACTCCTACGCATCTCTACCATCTCATTTATTTCATTCTTTAAACATCATAAATAATCTAAGTGCATAAACAATCGATGATCGTTGACCATTTACAATTTTCTTTCCATTCTCAGGTTTTTTTTCAAGCCTATTTGCTCCTTCATGGTTTTATTAAGAATAGGATTCCCTTTCTCGAGCGTTTCATCACTGTCAGAACTAGGGTAATGTATTGTCCTTGTTCAGGAGGAACGCGGCCAGGAGGACACTGTCGTGGACAATCCGAAAAGGACTGTAAAACAAGTGAAACAAAAGGATCAGGAAGCGCGGGAGCAACGTGATTCCAACGGAAAGTGAGTCGATTCCCCTTTATTCTTCTTCACTGGAATGCTTTAGAACCCCATGTTCAGTATCATCAAGGAAAAACCAGAAAAGCCAGAAAAAGAGGAATCGATTGCAACCAGAGTGTGGACTGTGGTACTTACTGTATTGAATAAGAGGCCCAAGTTTCGCCCTAATAGCCGAAAGGTGCGCATTTCACAAACTTCTTGCAGAAGGGAAAAAGTGAAGATCATTTTAGGCTACGTATAGCTTCGAAGATTGCTTAAGTGATCGCAAGGAGAAAATAAAACGACATTGGTGGTGGCCGACAAAGAATGTCAAAGGCAGGCAACGACGGGTAAGTGAGACCCCTGCCCTCGGCAACTAATCTGTGTTCCCGGAGAATCTGCTCGAATTTTCTTTTTAGCTGTCCGCTGTCATCGCTGACAATAACGAACCCAAGGAGAAGGATATACCAGTTCGTTACCGGTCTGCAGATTGCCTTTAGGTAGGTTAATTACTCCGATGCACTCTTGAAAGGAAACCCGCAAAGGGCAGGGAATTGGCTTTTGTGAGGAGAACAACCCGATAGGTTAGAACTGCTGTAAAAAACGGCTCTTTTTTCCTTTGATTTTTTCCTTGCACTTAACGTCTTCTCATTTTAACCTTAGAACAGAGCAAGCAAGGTAGGTGAATAATAAATAAATAAATGGATTAAAGTTATAGAACAATAAGCTTGACTTGAGCAACCACTGGGCTTCTTGTTATTCCTGGTTTACAATCCGCTGCCGCCTTATGGTTTAGAGCAGCTTCACGGTCCTTTTCTGAGAGCTGAGCTGAGCTCCTACCCACAAGATTGCGCGATAGCTATCACCTAACATCCGCCCCGTGTACCTTTTGTGCCCCAGGGCTCTGCACCGGCGTCCACTGCTGAGGTAAGGGATCATCCACGTGGGCTTGACTCATTCATGATAAAAGGATAAGAACTTCTTCGTTGACAATCTCTGTTCTGGGGGAGTGCGCGCACGTTTCTACTTCCATTAGAATTTGGCGGCACACGCATTCTACTTCCATTTTAGAAATTGTGGTGAGTACAAGAATGCCGATGTATAGCCTGTAAAGTAGTGTGCTGGTACTAGCCGGTGACAAGTCATTTTATATTTTGTATTCTTTGCTGCAAGTATTGCAAGTTGTGGCTCAGTTAATTTACCGTCTCCAAGGGGGAGCCTAGTTGCCTGAGCGGAAGTCGAAGCCATCCTTCACCTCGCATCACATGCGTGGCTGCACCTCACTTCCGAGGATCCTGTCCCTCGCCATATGCGAAGGGAACGTGGTGACGGCTCCTAAAATGTCGACAGTTGTCGTCGAAGCGAACTGCGCCACAATGAGGCTGAAATTTAGTGATAATCTGACGCTTTCTGTACTCTACTCGTGCTGCAGCACGGGCAGCCATACTTCTAACCATAGCCAACAGCGCTACTTGTCTTCACCCTCTCATATCTGCTTGTTAATTGCGTGTTCGCTACGGGATCTTGATATTGACGCAATCGCTTCACCTTGAGGATAAAGCGCGGCGGAGAGCCGGCTCGGCACTGGGTATCACCAACTTTTGGCTTCATCTCGCCGCTGAGTTGGCCACAGCTATAGACAACACTATGTAGACGAGTGCCAGCTCCATTTACGATGGTGAGGACCGCTCTCGGGAAGGTTCGAAGCTCGCATGTCTTCACGGTGTACAGCTAAAAATCGTCTGGTAGCGCTTGCACTTGTGAAATATCGGATCGGTCACCTAGCTTCCCTGGCATTTTGTTTTGCTTAGTGCTTCCTTCAGAGGAGGCGAACCATAGCGAACCCATTACTGTTCTCATAAAAACCGAAACTTCGATGGGCTTAGTCAATCCTTAAATTTCAATCAGAAAACCTCTTCTCTACTACTCGCTGTGAAGAGAATTCTGGGACTTTATCCCGCTATCGCCTACACAAACAGTTGGATGAGACTTTTGAGATCGCTCAGACTTTTCTGACTTTCGGGACAATTTGCTGAAATGGGATTGATCTATCATTATTACTCGGCTTTTGCAGTGTAAAAGGATAATGAATGCGATGTGGCCTATACAATGACTTGCGGGGGCCAGCCGATGTACAAGTCAGTGTTCTTATCCTCCCAGACGAATCTGGTACCAATTTACCGTCCCCGGAGGGTAGAAGGCTTGGTTGGCCTGGGCGGGTGTCGACCTGGGATTCGAACCCAGGACCGCGCGAGTGGTGAGCGCGCCACTTGTCACTACACCACCTCCGCCTCTTTTGCAGTGTACCTCGAATTAATCAAGCCTAAATCAAGTAGGAAATATGTCCAGTACTGCAGCTATAGTTTATATGATCGCAGCCAGACGGAGCAGTGGTAGGAGCTAGCGAAATGAGCCCGCTTTCGGCTCAGGGCCTATCATTACTTGGGGATTTTCGTCGAGTCCGCACGACCTCCCTAATTGGTGGCTTGATGCGACTCCCCTAGTTCCCTCCTCATCAAGCTGTCCAGCGGGGGATATATGGCACATGTGAAAAGGGAGAACCGCGGGAAAGGTATGACCCCCTCTCTTCCAACCTAACACTTGCTTCGATTTTCCCGACTTCCTACCAGTTTTCCTGGGATTTTCCCAAATTCTTCCTATTTCTCCCGAAAATTTTGCTGTTCAAGCCTAGGAGGAGGGTGTATAGTACATAGGAGACTGCAAAGACCATTAACAACCTCTCCTTAAAAGCCAGAAGGCAACACCCTCTCCCTCTCTCTCCCAACAACGAACGAGCAAATACGACACCCAGCCCCCTTAATTGCGTCCCTGAAATAAGAAAAATTAGCTATTAAAAAAATTTTTCCCGTGCGACCCAATACGACCCCCCCCCCTGTTGGGGAATCCCCAACGATGATGTGCCCTGTTTCAGCTACCTTGCCGTACCAATGCTGATCGCTAAGTGAACGATTCAGGGAAACCCCCTTCCTCAAATCGTCCCGTATGATTGCGATATTACAAACTGTAGCTCTGTTTTTGAATAACCGTCCCTTGAAGGTTTTCACGACAAAATTGAAGCAGAGGGTAAGCTAACAGGGATCCGAACTCCCCCAGCTTTGCCAGAAAAAAAATCTAGAAAAGAAGATCTCGAACCAGAGAGCTTATTTTCGCTCTTTTCAGTGCTATTTCCGTTACAATTCTATGCATTACACTTCCACTTATGTACAACAATGTTCAAACAACCATCGAATATGTTTTGAACAGAAATGGACTTTTTGGCGAAGCTAAGTCTTCTGTTGTGTGAGGTGTTCAAATGCCTTTGGGTTACGAGGAGCACGTCCGACTGGGTACGTTCTTGATAAACTCGGTGTGTTAAGGCCAACCTTCACAACTAAAGTCACTTTACTCATTGAGAACGATGGAATTTCATTCTGATGCGGTACCCTTTCGTTGATGCGGCAGATTTCTGGTATGATTATCTTGGTCGAGGATGAAAATGTTGTCCATTAAATGCGAGTTGAGCAATATTGCTGGATGGCGGCGGTTGTGCGAGTTCGTATTTGGTGGGAATGGGCTGAATTAGAGGTGCATTTAGGCTTAGAGCGTTGTTGTTTCTGCTGTGGCGAAAACCGATTCAACCACGACGCTGGCAGCAACCGATCACCTGCAGTCAATCGGTGGGGTGAACGGTGGGGATGGGCGTATCGTTATGTTTGGTCTTCACATAAAATATTTTTGATATGTTGGTTTTCCTTGTTTTTGCGGACGCTATATAAAAGGGGGGGGGGTCTATTTGGTCGTTTCATGGGTGGGGGCATTTTATTTTGCTTTTTGACTGTTTGGTCTGAGAATTTTTTTCTGGTTGCGGAGTTTTTATCAGTGTTTATTCGTGTTTACATGTGGCTATACTGTGCTTCAGGTCATAATATACCCGCGCTCCCCGCTCTCGTAGCAGCATCGACTCGGAGGGAACTAGGGGTCGGAGGGAGGCGAAAGGAGTCCTATTGAAAGCACCTTTCATAGGGGGTCGTTCGCACTAGACTACGACCACTAATCCCAGACCGATGATCGCTGGTTCTTTGTGTGCCCATGTACTGGACGAACTGCTGGGGGTTAGTGACATGTCCTGGGTTGCGCGTGTCCGTAATCCGCCTACCTTTTCCTGCGGCACACGTGCCCACGCTGCCGGAACCATTCGGCTGATATTTCACTCTCTATCCTGTCTGTCATCTCTTCACATTCCATTGAGTTGCTACCCTTTTTTCCCCGTGAACCCTACACTGGAACTGTGGTCACTGCGGGTAATTTCGGCGTGCGGCTAATGTTTGTTTCCTTCTGAGATAGAGCTGTGCAGTTTCACGCCGCTAGGGGCACCAGAGAACAGAGCACTCGAACCCAGTACCCTTCAGCCTTATTTCCGGGCGCTCTCGAACGACGAAAGGGTTACACCTGTACACAGCGAGCCTGTTCTACTCGCAAATAGGAAGGACCTCCTTCGGAGGTGAATGTGCAAGTCGCCTTCGAGTTTTTGAAATTTTTCAACTTCTCGTCGATCACGACCCTCAATCCAAAAATCTGCTGTTTACTCGCTCCTTTGAATAAGTTCACTCATAACAAAACATACTCCTAATTGAAAAAGATTATCTGGGACCAACGCTGGCTGCCGTGTTTGCTTAGATGCCGCAAAACAATGATGCGATGAACAACTTGCCTTGTGAAGTGCTCAGTTAAAAGAAACACTGGTAAAGCTCGCGATTAGTCCACCTCATTATTGTTTTTCAGCGGTCGAATCAAGAAGCACTAGTGGAACTTGAATATGGAAAGATGCCTCTCAACCGCACTCGACGTGGCACCTCCTTTTCCGGTAAAGGGTCGTCCTACGGTGATGATGTGACTGGAACGCCTCTGGAATCAGAATGTCCTGGTGAGTGATTGCAGCAGCGGATTGGCACAGATGAAACATAAGATTTATTATTTAGGTTGCTGTATCCCTGGCCCACCCGGCCCTCGTGGTCCTTCAGGAACTCCTGGAACGCCGGGAACACCAGGACAAGCTGGTAAACCAGGGATGCCTGGAGTTACTCCCAATCAAACATGCCCGATGAACATCATGCGTGAACCGCCACCATGTCGACCGTGCCCGAAAGGGCCACCTGGAATCAAGGGATGGCCTGGCTTCCCAGGAGATGTTGGACCACAAGGTCCACCTGGAGAGGTAAGGGAATCCGCTTCGCATATAGGAATGACGACTGTTACTAATTCGAATATTTATTGCAGAAGGGAATGGATGGCGAAGACGGTGCACCCGGAGAGACGGGACCAAAAGGACCACCTGGTTACAAAGGAGGACCAGGAGCACCAGGAGACAAGGGACCAACACCGGAGGGAGATCTTCGCGAAGGTCCACCCGGTGACGAAGGACCGCCAGGACCTATTGGAGCCAGTGGAATGCCAGGATTACCCGGTCGTAATGGACTGACAGGGCCACAAGGAGAACGAGGTTGGCCTGGATCCCCAGGTGAAACTGGTGAACCAGGATATCCTGG